CTTAGGGCAGCGTGCACGAGGAGAGGCTGCCCATTGCTTGGTTGTACTTGGCTGTGGATTTCGTCTCGAGACGAACATCTATTGCAGCAAGTTTGTATGTCATCACTCGATGCTCGCGTATCAGACTTGTCAATGTGTGTGCGCGTAGTCATTATTATGAAACGTGTGCTGTTAACACAGCCGTCAACGACAACGACAACAACAGCAACCGCCGTTCGCCACTAAGTGGCGGTGACCACGGCGCTTGTGCCAGGCTAGGTGCACCTTGAGGCCACGTGACTCGCTGCTGGCAGGATGTCACGTGGGTTGCTCTGGCTGGCATGCTCCACCACCAGCAGCTGTGCTCCCCCGCTGTGCCACCACGACGCACGCCATAGGTATCGCTTGCCTGCCAGTCGGTCACACTTTCTTACATTTAAATTTTGTTGTTGCTGCTTTTGGCAACGTAAGACAAGCGGGATCACGATGCACACCTTCAAGAACTGCTGATGGGTTTTTTTTTTTTATCTTCTCATAACGCACCAAAGGGCTGAATGCTTTATTCACGCTCCCGTGTGTCGTTGGAAACGAAACAGCCATCGTCACGGCCCGCAGAGCTTCGCCTTAACCCTCAATTTAACCTTAACAACCGCAGCACGACAGATCATGCGATACAAAGTTAATTAGTGGCTGGGCAAACCATGCAATAAATTTTATCATGACGTTGATGACGACGACGACGACGATGTTGATGACTTCAATAATAAAATGCCCTTTAATTATTCAGGACGGCCAAAATTAAAGTCCCGAGATTTATTTTTATTCGGGTCCTGCCACGTGGGCTACGCTGGGCCAGTTGGGTTCGTGAGAGTTTTGCTTCGCGTGAGAGGAAAGTGGAGTGACCGGAGAAAACCCACTCCACGCGTGTGCGAGCAGGAATAAGCGCTCGAAAGCTGCGCATGGGTCGCTCGAATCGACGGATCGATGCGGTCCATTGAATCCACCGACCGAGGCCAAAATGTTTAACTGCCAAACCTCCTGGCCGCCTCCCAGCGCACACGACCCACAACAGCAAGCGGGCAAGGCACGTTGGTGGTGAACCCACCCATCCAAGTGTGAGCCAGACTCAACACCGGCTGAGCTTCCGTGATCCGACAAGACCGGTTTTGGTGTGTGTGGTGTGGTCGTAGCCATATCAAATATCCCATTACCTCGTGCAGATAATGGGCTTTGGCGTTCGGCGTGAGTTATTATACGGACATGTATAATTTGCTATTGAAAAATCAGCCAGGCATATCGCCTTCATCTTTTCTCACCCGACCTCTGTGCTCATTCATGATCTGGCTCTCATCCGTTGATGTCTCTGCTGCTGCTGCGTGGGTGTGTTTACTGTTAATTGTTCGCAAGAAAATGAGGTGGGATAGAACAAAGCATATATCATCACATCTAATAAAACGTCAACAGCCTCTTCCTGTACGTGAGAACCAAACAAGGAGACAGGTGAGGGGCAATATTAATACGAAGCATCATCAGCCACAATCAATCCACTGGTGGGTGAAGGCTACCTACTACCTGCATGTACCAATGCACCGAGTGCCAGCACGCAGTTGCTGATTTCATCGCTCCATCTCCTCCCTGGATGTCCTCTTGGACGCGTTCTTTTCCTTCGAAGCAATTCCAGCGTTTAGTATTTTCGACCGTCGGCCATCGTGCAGTAGGTTATCTCAGCAGTTTGAATGATGTCTCTAAAGTGCGCGCGTGTGTGTGTGTCCTCTCATCCGCACGGTTCTCTTTCTGTTCCTCAACGTATTTTCAAGCACGCTCCGCTCCACGCTTCTTTGTGCACTTTTCAGTTCATGTAAAATACAAATGGTTGAACTGCGGTGTGCGCATGGAAGAGGTGCAATGATAACATCGATTTCTCGATGAATATCGATGTCTAACATTACGATACACGCATCGAGCGATCGATAATACATTCTGCATTGTGTTTTTCGTTCGCGTTGTGCACAATGGATTCACGTGACCCCCCCTCTGGCCACTAGAGGCCGCTACATTTAACGCAATTTACAACATCGATTATTGGTGTCCCACCAACACAATGTTCCCGCAATGTGCCCTGTTCCATTAAGTTTAGTAAATAGGAGCGGTGGCGCATTGGTTACTCGCACTGTGCAATGGACCCGGGCATCCAAGTTCAATCCCTGACCGCGGCTAAGATTTGTGGAAATTTATTCAGTTATCCGATTATACCCCCCCCCCCTCATCTCTGCTTGACCCCCATGACCCCCCCCCCCACCTCCCTCTTCACCAACACGCATTGACCAGCGTGGTGAAGTATGGTCGGACAACGCTCATGACCGACACGTGCGCGGCGGGAGTTCCTTCATCCAACAGTGGATCGATCAAGGGCTGTAGGAGTATTGCCACTTGTGAAATGGCACTACGAATGGACGGCTTTGACCATCTCAATTTGCCGATGTCGAATATGAGAAGATTAACATTGAGTTGATATTTCATGTTTACTCAGCGAGATGGGGAGCTGTTTGCCAGCCAGTGGAGCTGTTTATCAAACGGGTAATCATAGACGAACGTCAATTTATAACAAACAAAAATACTAGATGTGCCAGTGGGAAATATATATATAGAAATGTTGTTGTGTCGAGATCATAAATATGTTACATCACAGTAGTTATGGCATACGTCTTCTCAAGGGCTGTAGAATTATTACCACTTATGAATTACCAAGGGCGTATGCCCCCCCCCCGCCACATACAGGACAATGACAAATATCCCCTAACAGCCTATACAGGCTATTGGGCCAAGTGCTGTTCACGGTCACCGACAATTTTTTATATTCCTTTATTTTTCTTCACTAGGGTCTTGCCAAGTATGCGCGATAGTTGGCGTTGCATATTCCGACAGAGCAATTTGGTGGCACGGTATTAATCAGGGGCGGCCGCTAGCCTCGAACCGCTTGATCTCCGCAGCATCAAACGGCGAACCGCGCCACAACCGAGGCGACAACAGCCACCACGACGGAGGTCCACCCACGCTCACGACACTAGGGGAGGGAGCGGGCGAGATGGCACCGGCAGCATCACGCCCGGCCGCCTTTGTCTCATTTCAGGCCGACAATAGTGGAGGCCAAGGACAGGGCCGGGGCCGGGTCAGAAAATAATTAGCTACGAGTGTTGCCAGGGCGGAGGGAGGTAGGGAGGAGGGGATTGATTTCCTTACAATTTCCATTGAAATGGAAACGATTGTGATAATGGAGTACACATCATATACACACTCTCGTGTTGATATCGATCATCTGCACAGCACACGAAGCGATGAGTGGCCAGCACCACACTGGGTCTCCCTCGTGGTGATTTTTACACACCGAACCAGGAACGTATTTGAGTCTGAGTCTACCTAGGGGAGGCCCAGGACCGGTTCACATAATCGTCACTGGTGCTGGCCGTGAGCGGAACTCCAACCCGGGTCGCCGTGTTCGTAGCGCGGCACCCTAACCGCTGCACTACCGCTCCCCACAGACACACAGACACCCTCTCACACACACCCTCACACACACCCTCACAGACACCCTCAAACACACGCGAATCCTCACGCACAGCCACACATAACTACACACCCACACACACCCACACACACCCTTGACTAATGTTACGTCAGACCGAGTGAATACAACCTCCCCGAGTGTTCGTACAGAGGGCTCATTCATCACGCGTGGACCATTCGCTCAAGGAATGAAGTAAATCCCCAGCAGACAATTCTATCACCACCACCACCACCACACTCATCATTGTCATTGTCATCACGATCACTATATTCGCCAAGATCATCAGCACATCATCGCTATCACCACCACCGTCATCATCACCACCACCGCCACAATCACTTTCGTTGTGTATGTTGAACTTCTTTCGCACCGTACGTAGCTAACCGCACTAATTGAAGTTGCGGGGGAAGGACGACAACTATCACCATCATCATCATCGCTATCACAAACATCATCATCATCATCACTATCACCATCACCATCATCATCACTATCATCATCACTATCACCACCACCAACATCATCATTATCACTATCACCACCACCAACATCATCATCATCACCATCATCATCATCACTATCACCATCATCATCACTATCACCATCACTATCACCTCCACCAATATCATCACTATCACCACCACCACCACCAACATCATCACTATCACCACCACCATCAACTCATCACCACCACCAACATCATCACCACCACCAATCATCCCCACCACCGTCACCGCTATCACGCTTCAGCAGACGCCGCGTGCGTGATGATCGCTGGCAGAGCGCGTGAAGTGCTCCTGCGCATTCAAAGTGCCCCCCCCCCGCACCTTGCAATGAACGGCGCGTCATAACGACGGGTTACAAAGGAGCCCTCTGGCTCCAGGTGGGAAGAGGTCAGTTGGTTCGTGTACGCAGCCTTTGTAGGGGAGACGCAACTTCCAGCGCGTCCCCTGGGCGATGCGGCCTCAAACCCGCACGGCTCCGCTCGGGACAAGCAGCGATTGACGATCCAAATCTCTCCAGTCGCGTTCTTCAGCGAGAGGCGCGCGTCGCGAAGTCGTCTGTCCCGATGGAGCGCGCGCTCAGTTCGCACCACCAAGAGCAGCGGCAGCGGCAGCAGCAGCAGCGGCATCAGCAGCGGCAGCAGCAGCGGCAGCAGCAACGGCAGCAGCAGCAGCGGCAACAGCAACGGCAGCAGTAGCAGCAGCGGCGCGCAGAGGCGCAGTGAGACTCCGCACGACCCCCGCAAGTTTGTCTGTTTGGTCCATTGCTGCTGCCGCTGCTGCTGCTGCTAATCACTGCTCGTCTTACTTCTGTTGCTGCTCGTTCTACGACTGCTGCAGTTTCAACCGCTGTCCCTGCTGCTGCTGTTCCTCGTATTACCGCTCCGGTTCCACCTTCTCGCTGCTGCCGCCACCGTCCCCCCGTCACGACTGCTGCTGCTGCTTACGGGGACATGACGGACGTGAACTCGAGCGCAGGCGCGCGCGTCGCGGAGCGCATGAACGCGTCCGACGGCGGCGGCGGCGGCAACGGCTCGGGCAGCGAGGCGGCCGCCTCCCCCGTGGAGACGAGCACTGTAGTGCTGTCCTTCATCTACGCCGTCGTGTGCCTCGTTGGCCTCGTGGGCAACTCCATGGTCATCTACGTGATCCTGCGCTACGCCAAGATGAAGACGGCCACCAACATCTACATCCTCAACCTGGCCGTGGCCGACGAGCTCTTCATGCTCAGCGTGCCCTTCCTCGCCACGTCCACCGCTCTGCACCACTGGCCCTTCGGGCCCTCGCTGTGCCGCCTGGTCCTCAGCGTGGACGGCATCAACATGTTCACGAGCGTCTTCTGTCTCACTGTGCTCAGCGCCGACCGCTACGTGGCCGTGGTGCACCCCATCAAGGCGGCGCGCTACCGGCGACCGAGCGTGGCCAAGGCCATCAACGTGGCCGTGTGGGCCCTCTCCATGCTCGTCATCCTGCCCATCGTCGTGTACGCCGACACGCGGGAGAACAGCGACGGCTCCGTGGTGTGCAACCTGCTGTGGCCTCGCAAGCAGTGGTCCGCCGTGTTCGTGTTCTACACCTTCACGGTGGGCTTCCTGCTGCCCGTCGTGGCCATCTGCCTCTGCTACGCGCTCATCATCGCCAAGATGCGCTCCGTGGCGCTGCGCGCCGGCTGGCAGCAGCGGCGGCGCTCCGAGCGCAAGATCACGCAGATGGTCATGATGGTGGTGACGGTGTTCGTCATCTGCTGGATGCCCTTCTACATCGTGCAGCTCATCAACGCGTTCGAGCGTCAGCCGGGCGACACCGTCAACCAGCTGGCGGTCATCCTGGGCTACGCCAACAGCTGCGCCAACCCGATCCTCTACGGGTTCCTCTCGGACAACTTCAAGCGCTCGTTCCAGCGCGTGCTGTGCCTGCGCTGGCTGGATAGGGACGGCGTCGAGGAGCCCGTGGACTATTACACCACGGCCTTCAAGAGCGGCAGGGCCTACAGCCTCGAGGAGGACTTCATCCAGCTGGGACAGATGACGCTGAAGAACCTCAGTCGAAACGGGACGCTGGCGTCTCGCTCCACCACGCTGCGGTGAGACTTGTCGGCTCCGTCGAGGGTTCCAATACGTTCTATGCCGATGTCGCTGCCGCTGACTGTGAAAGGCTCTTTTGTGTATCGGGCGAGAATTGCTTCGTGACGTTTTAAACCCTTGATTGCATTGTTCACTCACACGGTACGTTCGCCAATTGGCACCTGTGTGCGTGTGTGTGTGTACGTACGTGTGCTTGCTGCCGTTGTGTGTTTTTATTTATGTATTTATGGAAAATGTGAATTAGACACGTGCAATGGGCGCGTGTGGTCCGTTCATTGGCACTGAATAGACACCGCTTCGGTTTGGGGTTTGAATTTCAGTTTCAGCCTCCAGGGGTTAAAGTGTGGATAGATTCAGCCCGGTAACCAATGATTGGAACGACACAGTCGTATTGGATTTGCATTACCCCTTGCATCGGCTTATTACAGCTAACTTTGCGTCACAGAACGATATGAGGTCAAGTTTTCTTCCTTCGTTTCCATTCCAGGTCTGAGGTTTAAAAATAGTTTGACTTCCGTGCAGACGAAAACACTACAGGTGCGCCCCCTTGCGTATAGATCAAATAGGCAACGTATATCGATCTCTGATGGCGTTCCATTATACCTACTTCCGGGGGCCCTTCTCTAACACACGGGGTTATGCACTGATTACTGCGGGAGTTCAAAATGGGTTTCTTGGTCTCGCGACACGATGCTGATAGCACATTTAGAATAACACGGGGGGCGGGGGTGGGGAGACAAAATAATATGTATTATAACTTAAAATTACGAAAAATGTACTGAGTAAAAAAATGTGTCATTTCAAGCAGCTGAATTGTCCCAAACCTCAACCACGTGTTCATGATCACATACAAAATTGACATTAATATGAAGGCAAAATATTTACATTCCCACAGCTGTGTCAGTCGTCCTCAGGTGGACGGCTGCTTGCGTTGTGGCCGAAACGTCGTGAAAATTATTTTATTATGTTTTATTTTTATTTTTTAATTACTTCCCTTCTACGTCACTTTACCGAAAGAATCAAGAAGAAGTCGTGGGGGTAGTTTGACTATACTTCACCGCGCTGGTAAATATCGGTTGGCAGAGTGGCAACGGACCCAGGGGCCCGCTTTAGATATCGCTCGTCACTAACGTGAGCCCTTGGGAATATCCAGCCCTGGGTCGGTGGGTTCAGAGACAAGTGGTTCAACCACTGCGGCACCGCGGCTCGAATTAAGTGACTTTTGGAAGAATTAATCACAAGTAAGGAAAAACGTTCACATTACCGGAGCGAAACGCGCACGTCCGTTGCACGTGACCGCCTGTCTCACCCAGCCAGCCAAACATGTTTTTAATACATATAGGAGATAGGGGCCGTCCATAAATGACGTCACGCGATTTTGGACGATTTTTGTCCCCCCCCCCCCCCCCGCTTCGTCACACGACGTCACAAAAAGTCGGATCCCCTTCAAATATAACGTCACAAAGCTCTGCCCCCCCCCCAAAAAAAATATTAAACATGCTTCAAATCGCTTTAAACTATTGTCATTGCAGTGCGTGTTTAATGTGGCGCTGCACTCTGATGCTGTAGGACAGCGGTCGGGAACCTATGTCTCGCGAGCCATATATGGCTCTTCCAGTGACGGCATATGGCTCCCAGACAATTTTGAGTTGAAAAAATAAAAAAAAATCAGTTTGGAACTGATTTTTAAATACTTGTGATATTGCTTAATAATACTGTGTCATTTTAAAGTAAACAGAAATTAGTTTTGAAGATAAATTTCACGGGTCACGCCTGCATGAAACTCAACTCACCACGTATGAACCAGACTACAAGGCCATCAGCAAAACCATGCAGCACCAGAAGTCTCATTAAAAGTAAGACATATTTCATTTATTATACGTTAAAAATACTATATGGCTCTCAATGAAATATATTTAGAAATATTTGGCTTTTATGGCTCTCCCTGTCAAAAAGGTTCCCGACCCCTGCTGTAGGAGAAAACATTTATTAAAAAGTCTATTTAATTAAGTAGAACGTGTTGTATATATTTATTTCAAGTTGCGCGTTTTGATGTGACGTCACATTTCTCAACCCCCCCCCCCCCCCTTGTCACAAATGTCTGACCTCCCCCCCCTATTTACGTGACGTCATATATGGACGGCCCCGTAGTATTAAACAACAATTGACACGATCAGCACACGTGTGTGGCTGCCATCAACTGCAATTTGGGCATTCTCCCCCGCCCCGCCGCCCCTTACATCACCCCCCTCCCCCCACGCGTAGCAGTCGCGATAATAATCCATCTTTACAAAGCGAGCGCCTGAGAGTCGGCCTCTTTGCACGAGGCTAGCGGCCACTTGCCGCGCGTAATTGCGGTGCAGCCAGCGGCGTAAAAGCGCCGTCAATGAGCCACCTGCCATTGCGCGCTTTGATCTTCACGGACAAAGATCTCCCGTATAGCCTTATCATATCGTTGGGGCAAGTGCTGTTAGCGAGCACCTACGAAGGCCGGCATTGCACACACAACAGCCGCCATTCTTTACGAAGTGGCGGTGACATCACAACGGCGCCCGTGCCAGGCTAGGTGCACTTTGAGGCCACGTGAAGTGTCGAAGGCTCGCTGACAGGAGGTCATGGGGCAGACCCAGGTGCAATGGGTTGACCGGCTGAGATGACTGACGGATGAACCAGCTCTGTCCTCTACTATGCCAACGGCACACAGACAAAGAACCCCCCCCCCGTATAGCCTCAACAGGCTGTTGTGCTGTTAGCCAGCACCTATGAAGGCCGGCACGGCACACGAGGGGGTGGGTGGCCAGCATCGGCACACACACACACGCACAGACACACACACAGACACATATACACAGACACACACACACAGACACACACATACACACACAGACACACATACATACACACAGACACACACACGCACAGATTGTGTTGCTTGTTCGTTTGAAACTTTGTCGCGCGTGTGAGTTATTGCGGTGTTCGTACCTGAGCAGCAACAGCGATGTTAGAACATCGCGCAGCCGTGTTTGTCCTCTGTGTTGGACTGTGTTGGACTGTGTTGACAAATAAAAAGCGTGCTCTCCCCCCCCTCTCTCTCTTCTCACCATCGCTGTTGTAGTTGCCAGCTGTCCATTCTTCCCCACTCACATCGCCCCGCGCTCCAGAAGACGGAACGCGCGCGCGTGTGTGCACTTGCCCCTACAGTCTGTTAAGGCTATACGGGGGATCTTTGTCTTTGTCTATGTGTGTGTTTCTGTGTGTGTGTTTGTGTGTGTATGTGTGTCTGTATGTGTGTCTGTGTGTGTCTGTGTGTGTGTGTCTGTGTGTGTGTCTCTGTGTGTGTGTGTGTGTATATGTGTCTGTGTGTGTGTCTGTGTGTGTCTGTGTGTGTGGATGGAGAGCGGTAGTGTAGCGGTTAGTGCGCTGCGCTATGAACCTGGCGACCCGGGTTCGATTCTCGCTCACGGCCAACACCCAGTGACGCTTATGTGAACCGATCCGGGGCTTCCCCTAGGTTGACTCAGCCTCAAATGAGTACCCGGTGCGGTATATAAACATCGCCGCTAGGGAGGCAAAGGTCGGCCGGGTGCGGTGCTCACTCACCCACCCCTTTGTGTCCCGTGCCGGCCTTCATAGGTGCTCGCTAACAGCACTTGTCACAACGAGTCTGCGACAGGCGATACGAGGGGGAGGGGGGTCTTTGTCTTTGTATTCTGTGTGTGTGCAGTGCCGGATTATTCTCGTAGCACAAGTAGCTACACAAGTAGCTACGGGCCCCGCACTTTCAAGGGCCCCGCGCTAAATGATTTCAAGCTATCAATTCCGGTTGAGTGATTCTGCACTTGCTCTATTACTATAGTACTACACCGCCTTAAACTTTATGAACTACAGGATGTTAAGGTGAGCGATGTGTCGTATTATCTGGCTGTATAGCAAATGAAAACATACGATTGCTTAACTACGCAAGTAAAAAATGCGTGTTTTAATATTCACGTGTTTAAATTTCGATTTAAAGCTTTCGTGACTGCAGGGATTCATCTTCTTGGTTCTTTCGGTAAAGTCACGTAGAAGGGAAGTAATAAAACACATAATAAAATAATATAATAAAATAATATAATAATAATATAATATTATTTATTATGTTTTATTATTTTATTATTTTATTACTTCCCTTCTACGTGACTTTACCGAAAGAACGAAGAAGATTTACGGTTTTTTTTTTTTGTTTAGGGCCCCTTTATAACACGTGCTACAAGCCCCGCACTAGCTTCATCCGGCACTCTGTGTGTGTGTGTGCCGCACGTACGCGCGCAGAAAGCGGCGTGCAAGGTTGGGGGCGAGGGAGGGGGGGATTAACGCACCGTCGATAGATCTGTCTGGAGAGAGCGCGAACGAGATGCGTCCTCGGCATCCCGCGTATCGCGAGGACGCACGGGTGACGGCGACGACGCAACAGGCCACGCATTCGTGATGAGGCTGCGAGTGGAATCGAAACCGTGGCAAGTGGTGGCTCTCGTGCAGCAAGACGCGAATAGGAAATGCTAAATTGTGGATACCGCTGATAGTGGTTTCGGTTGTAATAATAATTTTATAATAATAATTTCATTTTTATACAGGACGTTCTAAATAGATTGACCAGATTTCAAAGCAATACTTCTTTGAAATTGGGTCTATCTTTTTTACAACACCCTATAACGTCATGCATGCAATTGCATCCCGCAACGCTGATATAAATAATGGATAATTTCCAATAAATTACACATCCCATTTGGCTGTTAACGTCATCGTCATAATCGAGAGCCATGCCCAATCTACTGCTGGATGAATGCTTCCCCGCGCACGTCGTCATCATCCCTCGCAGACTTGTGATGCGACGCAATCCACATCTCGGCTTTCCTGCACAAGACTTTGCAGGTCCCATCGCTCCACTTCAGCGTCGGCCGCTCTCTCGGGCGAGTTCCATCCTTTGGCTGCCGCTGCATCGCCAGTCTCGACCATGACACCGTGTGCACCCCCCCCCCCCTCACCACTACCGCCCCGATGCCTTCAAAGTAAACCGAACGGATGACATCTGCCACCGTGACGCCGACGGACGAGCCCACCCACAAGCCCTCCCCCAACACATGGGGCCCTGGGCGGTCGACCCGATTCGCCGTACCCCAAGGGATGGCTCTGTCCACATCTAGCAAAGACGTGTTCTAACCGAAAGCCTACTTTTCTTAGAAGTCAATATGAGGTCTCGAACTCGTGTTTTTTTGTTTACTGATGCATGTGTTCATATTTCTATTCTTAGGTTTTTTCGGTAAAGTCACGTAGATAAAACATTAAAATTAATAAAAGTAAAATAAAATAAAAAAAATCACGACGTTTCGGAGGCAACACAAGCTTCCGTCTTCAGGTGGAACCGTCACAGCCACGACAGCTGTATCAAGTAAATGAGCGATTGCAAGAGCTACCACTCCGTATATATAATGGTTGGAGAGGGGGGAAGGGCCAAGTATAGCACACGTTTTATTCATATGGTAAGGTGAGGCTTAAGAGGGTGAGCCTTTGTTATGGAGAGGTACGGTTTGTGACTAAACCTGGCCTACATAACAATAGTGTGAAAAGGAGAAAACAACTAAACATGGTAAAACAAGCCTGGCTGTCTATCAATAACCTGTAATAGTTGTCTGTCAAATAAAATTGGCCAAATAAGTGTAGTTAAATCAT